TCTATATATCAACATTAAAAAAAGTTAAAACATCCTATTGGTGAGGTTAGAAAAGATCCTCAAACCTTTGCCAAAAACAGTTAACTTGTTGCAGTTGTCATGCAACTTAGCGACAATTTTGCATGTGGAATTATGAACTGTTGATATCTAAAACGCGATTAGCAGGTGTTTTTTTTGGCTTACCTTATGGACCATCCAGAATTTTGTTCCAGAATCCAGAAAAGTGTTTTTAAGGTTAGAAAGAAAAAACTAAAAATTCGGAAGTACCCACCTAAAGAAACTGCAGTACCTACACCTTTCGACTATAAACGGTTAACGCGTGTTGAAAGGAAAAAGGGAAATGACAAGCGCACATCTGTTTTTAAGTGATTATATTAATTATATGTTTGGATTGAATTTGATTATAAAAATATTTCGAAATATTTTAGCAGAAAAGCTGACTTAAAATTACTGTCCGCTTAAAAAAATTGCCTACAGTTATATTACTTAGTAATTGTTATGGTATTTTTGATAACCTTGGACGTCGATTTAAGGTCAGAGATTTGTTTGCACAAAATTATGGTAGTGTTACCTCCCTGCCTATCCAGCAATCCACTTGGCTTAAAGGACAAGCTACCATAAATTAACATTTTAAATATACACACACCAGTCACACATTCAATCTCACTCGATCGTCCTTTATTCCTCGTGGATTCGACATCCTGCTCTGTTCTCTGTACTTTGACTATAAACTATGTTTTTATTTAAGCAGAATTTGCTGAAAAGCTGCGCTCGCTTATATGGCATATTCTGTTTAAATGTTTGCTTAAATAACGCCAATCTGGGTTAAAGTATCGAGATTTGCAACATTTTGCTTCTAGGAAATTTTGGGGCTAGTTAATTTTAAACCGCCAGTTTAATATATTCTCGATAATTTTTAACCCACAATTGTTTCATATTTTAAATATTGCATCATAGGTCCTATACCATTGGAAAGCGGTTGAGTATTTTATTAAGAAAATCGATTACTTAAAAGTAGTTATTTAACTAAGAGCTAATTTTAATATATATTTAATCGGTCGCGTCGAGACTTCAGACTTGTAGATATTGCGGGTTAAAGCGCCATAAATTCAAGCTTGTTCAACATTCAAACGGAAGTCCATCGCGCAAGCTGATCACACGTATTGTCTATTACAAAATATGCAGTGAACAGGCGAAGATATGCACTTTCTGAGTATTGGCTAACGGACCATTCAAGTTCCGTTTTTATTAGAATAATAATTCCGAGAAAACAATTGAATACAATTAGTCATTAATGTATTGATTCTATTCAACCGGGGCGAGGCCAGTTGTGCTCCGAATGTATTTTAATAGCAAACCATTTGTGTATCAAAGCAGCTTCAAAACTAACAATTCGTTGAAATTGTCCAAGAAATTAAGCAAGAATTGGCTGATGTGGTTCCAGTCGCAGGTAAGACAATTGGCGCGTCATTAAATCTATACACAAACAGGAGCTTGAGAAGAGGCTTAGAATCTACGTGAGTGTGAGTAGCCGTTTTCATAGAGTTTGCACAGACTGTCCGTGCGACTGGCACTAAGTTGCGACGGAATACTAATTGTATCTTGGCATAGCTTGTCGCTTACTTTCCTTCTCTGACATATGAAGGTCCAGACTGCTATAATAGCTATCTGAGTTGCTAAGAAAATGATCGTTGCCACCATGAGGGCGGGCAAATTAACACATAAACCAGTATTAAAATCATCGCTAATGTAAACGGATTCTTTCAACGCAGTTTTATTGCCATCCTTTTGGAATCCGAATTTGTCGGTGATTTGGATAGTTTGCTGCAGCAAAAGGTCTTGCTGCGATTGGTCTGTGGACCTCCTCCTCCTGCGTCTTCCGTATGAGATTACTGAGCGAAGTTGTCCCTCAGAGTCGTCTTGATCGCATTGCACTGGCTCACATGATGGCATACAAGGGGTGACAAGTGCTCTGAATTGTACCATATCCGACGAAGGAAATTTGAATGCATCGAAGTGCGATAGTAAAGCCTGAAAACATTGACCTTTTATTATTGCGAATGCATGTTAGTTGAGAGAGATTACGAGTGCCATTTTCAGTTAAAAGTGCGTGAGTGCAAACGCATCAGTAGAATTTCTCATTATTTATTTCCTTCTTTCCAAAATTTGCCTTTTAATTTGGTTAGTGAGTTGGTTGGCTTGACGGGACGATTGACATAATCCCATGTGAAAAGTAGTAACTTTCACCACGCACGCTGACAGCCTGATTGTTTGTCACTGACTGTCAGCTGACTGATTGACAACATTTTCAAAGCCGTCTTTTTCACTAGAGTCTAGGTGCCAACTACTACTCTTCAGCACAAGCGTCTAGAAAGCGGCCGGAATTATTGCACCAAACCAATCAGATTGCGCGCGAGCGTTTCACATAACCTGAAAATAGCCGTAAGCCTGTTGCACCGCACTTTCCTATTGCCATAATGTTTACCAATAGAAAAGACACAATCGTAAATGAATGTTTTTTTCAGACAATAAAGCAAATAGTTGGGGTTATTTCTTGTAAAATTTTTATGAGCGATCTTAGTGAAACATTTTATAATGCCTGGATCAAAATAATGGGTGCTTCCAAATACCAGCTTTACTGTTCATGACATGGCAACTCCAACAATATAATATTATTAAACAAAAAAAACAAAGCTAGCTTTGGCTTTGTGTCCAAAATGGACAAAATTAATACTCCAAATGTATGCCAAGGCTTAAAGCAGCAACAACGCTACACATAAAAACTGATGATGGTGAAAAAATACACCGAAACATATTTTAATTAATAAATAGAGACAATAAATGACTGAAACCCAGGAATAGATTTTGATTTGGAATTGAAACACTGTCAGGAAAGTATATACAATGACTAATAAGAACGTTCACCTTAAATAACCAAACATTGATTCAAACCAAGAGAGACCGTAACACATAAGACGTTCCTATGCGTGCGTATCCCAGCACATACAATTTTTGACATGCGTAGTGCAAACTTGGCAACACCGTAGGCTGAAGAGTAGTAGTTGGTACATAGACTCTAGTGTCTTTTTCAAAACCTTATAGTTGACTCGGCTAGTTTCCACTGAGGATCAAGAAAAATGGCATACGTGCATGACTTGACAATTCTTCGAGTCAACTTCAAACAGTGGCGGAACTATCGCCTCTTGTACCGTGACGTACTATTTTGAAATTTTTTATGTCAATTTTTGACAGTCTTGTCAATCAGTGACATTTTTTATGCTTGTAGTGGTCATTCACTCATATGCTACAGACCCAAATAAAAAATACGGGTTTACATTTAAAATAGGAAAGTTGGGTTATATTTTTCATACACCCCAAAGTACACTTTGAGAATAGCAGCAACGTTTATACTTTAGCAGTGACGATATTCTTGATAATTTGTATTTTACGTACCTTTCCTGATTGGGCACTTTTGTAAATCGGCCCCATGATGAAATGGTCTGTGGGGCAACCGTCTGAGTCGATAAGAACAATTTCGCTGGAATCAACTCCATCCATGGCTACTAATTCACGGACGAATATTTCGTAGGGGCTGTTTCTGTCCAAGATTTCGAATTTAAGAGCCAGAGGATCACCCACTTCCGCAGATTGCATCATGTCTTCGCCATTTCTGTCAGTGATTCGCATAGCCACGTTCGGTGAATCAACGATAATGTCATGCGTTGCGACTAAAACAAAAATAGGTTCAGTACTTATCTTGTAAATTTAAGAAGAAAAAAAAATTAGGTTAAGAAATACATTAATTGACTTATTAAGGTATTATTCAGGATGAGTTTTTTAAAGTGATACAAGGCTATATCTCAGAAACGATTTGCAATATATTTATAAAAATTTTGGAAAGTAATAGATAGGTAGGGGACATGTTTTAACATATGTTTATTACTCTACTGTCGCGCCCTCTTTGAAAGGAAGGGAAAGAATGGAATTATATATTTTTGATTCTACATGAAAACATGCTACTACTACATATGTGTACAAATTTTTGCATGGTTTACTCATCTGATTTTCAAATTGTCTGTCTTTTATATCCATGGCAACCCGAAAACTGCGCTCGTTAATTGACATAATTTTGACGTTTTAACGCCCTTTTCCTCAAGTTATTGTAATTAAACATGGAAGAGAATTGTAATATGGAAGTTGACATGTAGTTAATTTTGGGAGAGTGTAGAAATAATTACAGAGAAGCTGCGCTATTGTGGCCGCAAAGATTTCTTAACAATCCAAAATCCCACATGGCGTTTAAAAGATTAGCAACCAGAGGTCGCACAGCTGGTAGTTTAAGAAAAAAGAAACGATAAGACGAAAATGCACTGCAATAAACGAAAATCTGGCGGTAGGACTTTTAGGAGAGGTCGTTCTCGACCAGCAAGTGGGGAAAATTTCATCCATACCATATCACACTCCACCTAGAACTGTATGGACAAGACTTTCAAAACTGCGTTCAAAACACGATAGGTTTTCTTTTTTCAAATCAAAAGTGTGACGTAGTATCTTGTTTATGAAACACCCTGTATAATCAATCATACAAATTTAAGTTAGCGTGTTCGATCGATTTTTTCTAAAACTACCAGGAGTCATAAATAGGGGTGCGACCTTTTGGTTATCCCACCCTGTATATAAAATGTTATGACAATAATCGTGACATACACACCACTTATTTTGTGATCCATACATGTAACTATTTTCCATTATGCAAGATAATAATAATCAATAAAATATTGATAGTCACAATAACTTAAATAATAAAACAAAGCTTGGAAAACAACGAAATAAACACGAGACACTTTGTTGATATGACCTGCTACGTCATAATCGGGATAGGCAACCGACGATACGAATTCGGCGGTTAAAAAAAATTATATCAGTGTAATGTTTGCCATAACTACTTTCTCTATATCTACATTAAAAAAAGTGAAAACACCCTATTGCATTAATTACGAAAAACAGTTGACAGGTGTCTTTTCCTGTTGAAGTAGATATCAAATGTCATCTTGACATTCCTAGGTTATTCAAATCATATTTAATAAATATAAGTTATACAATGAAACCTCATTTACTTTGTTTACTCTGGAAATATTCATCAAAATTACACTCGTGCATTAAAATAAACAGCTAATTTTGCAGCAAACTTCATTCGTTTCACAATTTAAAAATAAGCTCATGCAATTTTTGGACGAAATTATCGGTAATTTTGCAGTATATGTGCAATTACCCCCCATAACACGATTCTCTTTCAGGATAGCAATCAATATAAGTAGTTTCGTTTTTTCGCTTACCATTATTGATGTCTCCTTGGACTCCCAGGTCAACCTCATTTGTAACACTTTTGTTGGTCAGGTCGTATTGGCATGTAACAGCTAAGCCTAGATCGCTGCTGGTCACAATCTTGTCGTGATGTTGGATGACAACGTCGTTCACATACCTAAAAGTAATATTTTTTAACTCAACCTGAACCTTGCGTCCTATTGCTCGATTTCTAACCTTCCAAGGCCGTTTTTCCGTACATTACATTCCAAGTTATCATAAGCCATGCTCAGCTCGAACTCCAAACTGTTGTTAACGTCGCGTACACAAGAGTTTGGACTCCCCTTAGCGTAAATTTTTCCATCGAAAAGTTTGCTGGTTTGAATCCGGGCCACCATGTCCCCGGATCTACAGTCGATACTGACATTGTAGCAGGAGCTGAGTTCGTATGTTGCTGCCTCTGGCACTTCGAGATACGGTTCCTAAATCAAGTCTCAATGATATATAGATATTGTCACGGGAATGCTCAGAAATTCGTGGTTTGTCCAGGAAAAGAGGGTTAAGTACCTAATATTTTCTCTGCTTCATCTTTTCACTCCCTTTCTTTATTTGTGGTAATGAAACACTTAATTTATGAGTAATTTTAGTAGAAAATCACAATGAAATAATTTAACACTTTAACCTACTAGTATTACGGTTATCACACTCTAACAGATCAACTTTATGCTTAGAATATTTCCAATCATTGTGGTTCTTGTAGGTTTACTTTCTACCATTTCTACCATTGAAACTTACCTGAATGTCTGATAAAGTAGCTCTGGAATGATGGCTAAGTCTGCATACCATTTCACCAGTGTCGCCATAGTCGTAAGAATGGCATCTGTAAGGAGAGCTAAGGCACAATTCTCTGCATTCGTCTACGGACCCAACATCTTGATATACAGAGTCAACCTAAAATTAAATTTCTGTAATCACTTGGTTTCTAATTGAAGTTAGAGTAAATTACGGTTTTCAAAATTCTTCCATTTAATTTCTTAAATTCACATAATTTGGTCGGTTCTTCGATACAGTTGTTTTCCATGTAATCATATCCCTCAGCAGTCACGAATGAACTGCTTCCAGCTAGAGTGAGACGGTCCATACTGGACAGTTCACAGTCTCCTGTGGCGTTGTTGTAATTAGCCGACCTGCAACAGTATAGACTTATATAATAAATATTATATGTTTTATTAACAAGCGTATTGGACGATGTGTATTTATATTGTTAATAACAACATTGCACAACTGATACTTTCATAGGCACCAACTAAATACCGGCTACATTCCTACCACTTATGTAAGATTTGAAGAAAGAAAAGATAAGAAGAAATTGAGCAGGAATTAATTAACCGAATACGAGAAGCTGCTCGAGAAGAGTGTATAATAAGGTGATAACACAGGCACTTGTTTGGAGTTACAGACTCAAATGTATGTTTTGATATTGCTACTATAGATATTTTATAATTAACAAAAATCATCTAGTTTTCTAATAAAAACTAATCGAAAAAAATTCGCCGAGTGCCAATTTTATCAAATTTTTACTTGCCGATTCAACAGGTGAAAAGAAAATCAACAAACTGCTTTCAGAGTTTAAAGAGGGTGGAAAATATTTAAATAAGCGAATCATGACTTCAAAATTATCCCCAGATTTCAAAAAACTGTTTAAGTATCGTTACATCATTTAAAATACGGCAACGAACAGTTATATCTCCAGGTCACACGTTTCGAAAGGGTGTAGGTAATCGGCTTTGTTTCAAGTCTGGCGTTCTCGCTAATAATTTGAACATCTGCTGAACACATACAACTCTATGCATAAATAATATCGTTGTAATACCGGCAGAGCATCCTTTCAATAAATATTGTGGTGCCAGGTTAACTGATTTATCGGTGTTTCGAGTGACCGCAGGAGTGAGTCGGTATCTCGATTGGTGAAAAATCAAAACAGTACTTCTAGCAATGAGAAATAAAAATTATTCCTAGAAATGTAACAGATACGTTTTGCAAGATTATTATAATTGTTTAAAGAATTGACTGAATAAAATTTTAAACCGTAGCTCTAATTAGTTAAGCTAGTCAAACGAACACTAATGACACTGTTTTATTCGAATCAATCAAAAACTGTAGAAAGTACTTTTAATGTATTTTTATTTTATTTTCTTATACTTTTCCGTACAGCATTTCACTCTTCATTGCGTTAGCAAGAGTATGCCTTTCATTTATTTTACTGGATTATTTAGGAATCATGTGTTATGATTATTCAAAGCGACAATATTCTTAAAACTACAAATGTAAAAAAATCGTCAAAACTTAAATTGAATGGAAAATAATATTTGATAGGAAGGCGAGAATTATTTTTCCGAAATCTTGATGGATTTGCACCCTCCAATGCGGCTCGGTCAATCGCCGTCAAAAATAATTTTTTTTGATCCCCGGGTGGAAAGTACGTACTTTGGCCACTATTTTAAATGGCAAAAGCAAGACTTTTTCCCATTACAAATTTTCTTCATTCAGTGTGGAAAATAATAACTTTCGCCACGCACGCTGACAGCTTGACTGTTAGCTGACTGTTTTGACAACATTTTCAAAGCAGTTTTTTTTCAAAACCTTATACTTTTCACGGCTAGTTTCCCCCGAGGGCCAAGAAAACTAGTATACGGTACGCGACGGTAAAACGGATTCGCCTCGGGCGTCAACTTCAAGCAGTGGCGGAACTTCGACTTTCGTCTCTTGAAGCGTAATATATTATTTTTTGCTTTGTATCAAATTAGCAGCTAGTTTTCGATACAAGGGCGAAAAATATCATTCAACAACATTCACAAGTGAGCATCGTAAACGCGTTGTCGTTCGAAAAACGGATTTTCATTCTCGTATCGAACACTATTTTTTATTCGAAAAACTGTCATAAGGCCAATAGTGAGTTATAATAAAGAAGAATAGCCAAAAATAAAATGCGTCGATTTCTTATTTTAAATTTCATGTCAATGCCATCTTTCAAATGTCACGTTTTGACGTTTGTAATGTTTCAAAAGCGTACTTCAAAGCAGAACATAATGACATGAAATGACATATAATAAAAATAAATGTCAAATTTTAATAGTTAAAGTGTAGTTATAATTTATCCGCCAGTGGGTGTTTGGATTTTTAAAGTCGCAAATACAAGTAAAAGAATGAGTGATAAATATTTTACTGTACACCACCAGCAGTTAGAGATGCCGCAAATGTTAGGATCAACTTATGCCTGATATTCACGCTATTTAAAAGAACCGTCTTTTGCGTGTGCCAACATCGGCCAACGCAGAAAAATATGACATTAAAACCACCTTAAGACTGAACTTTTCAGAAAGTTATAATTTATAAATTGCAATTACAACGATGTAAATACATTAACATTATAAAGTGCAGGTTTGGAGATCGCTAGTTTCGGGTAGGTTAGCGCATCTCAAAATCACTTGCCTCTTTCTTCAGCTCATGACGGCGCTGCTGATACGGAAAGCTTTTCATTGTTCTTAGCAGAAAGTTTGGAAATCAACAGATCCGCAAAATAATGTAAATTTGCGTTTTAAAAACTATGTGAAAAAACAATTAGCATTCGACTGTTTTTTCATAAAAACAATCTCTAATTGGCAAATTTAAATTAAGCAATCAGTTTAGAAGAAAAAATGACGTTTTTTAAGTTGTCTTTTTTTGTACGACATAGCATTCGCTAACAATAGTTTATTTACTTAATACCTGAAAAATTAAAATTTGCAACAGTATCGTTCATGGAGATTTTTATTTATCGCGCAGCAATACAAAACATAACTAAAACACTCAACTAATAGTAATAAAGTTGCAACTTTTCTTAGTATTGGAATGAACCTGAAGCTGTTCCGTAGACACATTGTACATATAATTCGAATCCTTTTGCTATTGTTAATGTATTTTTTTCCAATTCAGACAAAACTGTTATTACTTATTACGATTGTGGATTTTATAAATAAAAATCCGTTAGTTAAGGTACTTTGCAAGCATTTTAATGCCTACATTCTTCAGATGTAATCGTTCGTTCGAGATCCGCATTGGGACGCAAGTAACGGTGTCCTCATATATTTTCTCTTTCGTTATAGCTGCTGAAGTATCTTCAAGTTACGGGCGGCTTAAAACTCCGCAGTGAATAAAAATTACGGAACGTTTTCGTTGGAAGATAATTCCATTTTATAGTAACCAGTGCTTGAAGTGGAAATTGGGATATCCGAGTTATGTTGCACTAGTTTGCACAGTTTTGGATTTGTTTAGAAACAAATAGCCACTGTTTTGTATTAAAATATAGACTTAAAATTAGTTAGTATATAGTTAGACAACATTTTCAAAGCAGTTTTTTTTCAAAACCTTATACTTTTCACGGCTAGTTTCCCCCGAGGGCCAAGAAAACTAGTATACGGTACGCGACGGTAAAACGGATTCGCCTCGGGCGTCAACTTCAAGCAGTGGCGGACATTTTTTCGTCCATTTCGGATGAAATGCTGGATAGCATCTCTCTGTTGTTGTCTTTCATTTCGTCTTTCATCTGCATGAGCAGTGCAATCAAACTGGGGTTCTCCATTGCAGGGTCTTCCTTCTTTGATTTACTTCTTGTTTCCATCAAAATTCAACTTGGATTCTGGTAAATCCCACTTCTGACACCAAATGTACCGTGGATGGCCGAGTATCAAATTCTTTCTTCAACTTACAACTTTTATTCCACTCGGTACAACTTTAACTACGGAACAGGAACAAACTAACTTCTAAAATTAATGTCAACTTCACAAACGATAACAATAACACACGGAAAACACGCGTTTCCGCGTTTTGGACACAAAGCAAAGCTAGCTTTGGCTTTGTGTCCAAAATGGACAAAATTAATACTCCAAATGTATGCCAAGGCTTAAAGCAGCAACAACCCTACACATAAAAACTGATGATGGTGAAAAAATACACCGAAACATATTTTAATTGATAAATAGAGACAATAAATGACTGAAACCCAGGAATGGATTTTGATTTGGAATTGAAACACTGTCAGGAAAGTATATACATTGACTAAAAAGAACGTTCACCTTAAATAACCAGACATTGATTCAAACCAAGAGAGACCGTAACACATAAGACGTTCCTATGCGTGCGTATCCCAGCGCATTTTCAATTTTTGACATGCGTAGTGCAAACTTGGCAACACTGTAGGCTGAAGAGTAGTAGTTGGTACATAGACTCTAGTGTCTTTTTCAAAACCTTATAGTTGACTCGGCTAGTTTCCACTGAGGATCAAGAAAAATGGCATACGTGCATGACTTGACAATTCTTCGAGTCAACTTCAAACAGTGGCGGAACTATCGCCTCTTGTACCGTGACGTACTATTTTGAAATTTTTTATGTCAATTTTTGACAGTCTTGTCAATCAGTGACATTTTTTATGCTTGTAGTGGTCATTCACTCATATGCTACAGACCCAAATAAAAAATACGGGTTTACATTTAAAATAGGAAAGTTGGGTTATATTTTTCATACACCCCAAAGTACACTTTGAGAATAGCAGCAACGTTTATACTTTAGCAGTGACGATATTCTTGATAATTTGTATTTTACGTACCTTTCCTGATTGGGCACTTTTGTAAATCGGCCCCATGATGAAATGGTCTGTGGGGCAACCGTCTGAGTCGATAAGAACAATTTCGCTGGAATCAACTCCATCCATGGCTACTAATTCACGGACGAATATTTCGTAGGGGCTGTTTCTGTCCAAGATTTCGAATTTAAGAGCCAGAGGATCACCCACTTCCGCAGATTGCATCATGTCTTCGCCATTTCTGTCAGTGATTCGCATAGCCACGTTCGGTGAATCAACGATAATGTCATGCGTTGCGACTAAAACAAAAATAGGTTCAGTACTTATCTTGTAAATTTAAGAAGAAAAAAAAATTAGGTTAAGAAATACATTAATTGACTTATTAAGGTATTATTCAGGATGAGTTTTTTAAAGTGATACAAGGCTATATCTCAGAAACGATTTGCAATATATTTATAAAAATTTTGGAAAGTAATAGATAGGTAGGGGACATGTTTTAACATATGTTTATTACTCTACTGTCGCGCCCTCTTTGAAAGGAAGGGAAAGAATGGAATTATATATTTTTGATTCTACATGAAAACATGCTACTACTACATATGTGTACAAATTTTTGCATGGTTTACTCATCTGATTTTCAAATTGTCTGTCTTTTATATCCATGGCAACCCGAAAACTGCGCTCGTTAATTGACATAATTTTGACGTTTTAACGCCCTTTTCCTCAAGTTATTGTAATTAAACATGGAAGAGAATTGTAATATGGAAGTTGACATGTAGTTAATTTTGGGAGAGTGTAGAAATAATTACAGAGAAGCTGCGCTATTGTGGCCGCAAAGATTTCTTAACAATCCAAAATCCCACATGGCGTTTAAAAGATTAGCAACCAGAGGTCGCACAGCTGGTAGTTTAAGAAAAAAGAAACGATAAGACGAAAATGCACTGCAATAAACGAAAATCTGGCGGTAGGACTTTTAGGAGAGGTCGTTCTCGACCAGCAAGTGGGGAAAATTTCATCCATACCATATCACACTCCACCTAGAACTGTATGGACAAGACTTTCAAAACTGCGTTCAAAACACGATAGGTTTTCTTTTTTCAAATCAAAAGTGTGACGTAGTATCTTGTTTATGAAACACCCTGTATAATCAATCATACAAATTTAAGTTAGCGTGTTCGATCGATTTTTTCTAAAACTACCAGGAGTCATAAATAGGGGTGCGACCTTTTGGTTATCCCACCCTGTATATAAAATGTTATGACAATAATCGTGACATACACACCACTTATTTTGTGATCCATACATGTAACTATTTTCCATTATGCAAGATAATAATAATCAATAAAATATTGATAGTCACAATAACTTAAATAATAAAACAAAGCTTGGAAAACAACGAAATAAACACGAGACACTTTGTTGATATGACCTGCTACGTCATAATCGGGATAGGCAACCGACGATACGAATTCGGCGGTTAAAAAAAATTATATCAGTGTAATGTTTGCCATAACTACTTTCTCTATATCTACATTAAAAAAAGTGAAAACACCCTATTGCATTAATTACGAAAAACAGTTGACAGGTGTCTTTTCCTGTTGAAGTAGATATCAAATGTCATCTTGACATTCCTAGGTTATTCAAATCATATTTAATAAATATAAGTTATACAATGAAACCTCATTTACTTTGTTTACTCTGGAAATATTCATCAAAATTACACTCGTGCATTAAAATAAACAGCTAATTTTGCAGCAAACTTCATTCGTTTCACAATTTAAAAATAAGCTCATGCAATTTTTGGACGAAATTATCGGTAATTTTGCAGTATATGTGCAATTACCCCCCATAACACGATTCTCTTTCAGGATAGCAATCAATATAAGTAGTTTCGTTTTTTCGCTTACCATTATTGATGTCTCCTTGGACTCCCAGGTCAACCTCATTTGTAACACTTTTGTTGGTCAGGTCGTATTGGCATGTAACAGCTAAGCCTAGATCGCTGCTGGTCACAATCTTGTCGTGATGTTGGATGACAACGTCGTTCACATACCTAAAAGTAATATTTTTTAACTCAACCTGAACCTTGCGTCCTATTGCTCGATTTCTAACCTTCCAAGGCCGTTTTTCCGTACATTACATTCCAAGTTATCATAAGCCATGCTCAGCTCGAACTCCAAACTGTTGTTAACGTCGCGTACACAAGAGTTTGGACTCCCCTTAGCGTAAATTTTTCCATCGAAAAGTTTGCTGGTTTGAATCCGGGCCACCATGTCCCCGGATCTACAGTCGATACTGACATTGTAGCAGGAGCTGAGTTCGTATGTTGCTGCCTCTGGCACTTCGAGATACGGTTCCTAAATCAAGTCTCAATGATATATAGATATTGTCACGGGAATGCTCAGAAATTCGTGGTTTGTCCAGGAAAAGAGGGTTAAGTACCTAATATTTTCTCTGCTTCATCTTTTCACTCCCTTTCTTTATTTGTGGTAATGAAACACTTAATTTATGAGTAATTTTAGTAGAAAATCACAATGAAATAATTTAACACTTTAACCTACTAGTATTACGGTTATCACACTCTAACAGATCAACTTTATGCTTAGAATATTTCCAATCATTGTGGTTCTTGTAGGTTTACTTTCTACCATTTCTACCATTGAAACTTACCTGAATGTCTGATAAAGTAGCTCTGGAATGATGGCTAAGTCTGCATACCATTTCACCAGTGTCGCCATAGTCGTAAGAATGGCATCTGTAAGGAGAGCTAAGGCACAATTCTCTGCATTCGTCTACGGACCCAACATCTTGATATACAGAGTCAACCTAAAATTAAATTTCTGTAATCACTTGGTTTCTAATTGAAGTTAGAGTAAATTACGGTTTTCAAAATTCTTCCATTTAATTTCTTAAATTCACATAATTTGGTCGGTTCTTCGATACAGTTGTTTTCCATGTAATCATATCCCTCAGCAGTCACGAATGAACTGCTTCCAGCTAGAGTGAGACGGTCCATACTGGACAGTTCACAGTCTCCTGTGGCGTTGTTGTAATTAGCCGACCTGCAACAGTATAGACTTATATAATAAATATTATATGTTTTATTAACAAGCGTATTGGACGATGTGTATTTATATTGTTAATAACAACATTGCACAACTGATACTTTCATAGGCACCAACTAAATACCGGCTACATTCCTACCACTTATGTAAGATTTGAAGAAAGAAAAGATAAGAAGAAATTGAGCAGGAATTAATTAACCGAATACGAGAAGCTGCTCGAGAAGAGTGTATAATAAGGTGATAACACAGGCACTTGTTTGGAGTTACAGACTCAAATGTATGTTTTGATATTGCTACTATAGATATTTTATAATTAACAAAAATCATCTAGTTTTCTAATAAAAACTAATCGAAAAAAATTCGCCGAGTGCCAATTTTATCAAATTTTTACTTGCCGATTCAACAGGTGAAAAGAAAATCAACAAACTGCTTTCAGAGTTTAAAGAGGGTGGAAAATATTTAAATAAGCGAATCATGACTTCAAAATTATCCCCAGATTTCAAAAAACTGTTTAAGTATCGTTACATCATTTAAAATACGGCAACGAACAGTTATATCTCCAGGTCACACGTTTCGAAAGGGTGTAGGTAATCGGCTTTGTTTCAAGTCTGGCGTTCTCGCTAATAATTTGAACATCTGCTGAACACATACAACTCTATGCATAAATAATATCGTTGTAATACCGGCAGAGCATCCTTTCAATAAATATTGTGGTGCCAGGTTAACTGATTTATCGGTGTTTCGAGTGACCGCAGGAGTGAGTCGGTATCTCGATTGGTGAAAAATCAAAACAGTACTTCTAGCAATGAGAAATAAAAATTATTCCTAGAAATGTAACAGATACGTTTTGCAAGATTATTATAATTGTTTAAAGAATTGACTGAATAAAATTTTAAACCGTAGCTCTAATTAGTTAAGCTAGTCAAACGAACACTAATGACACTGTTTTATTCGAATCAATCAAAAACTGTAGAAAGTACTTTTAATGTATTTTTATTTTATTTTCTTATACTTTTCCGTACAGCATTTCACTCTTCATTGCGTTAGCAAGAGTATGCCTTTCATTTATTTTACTGGATTATTTAGGAATCATGTGTTATGATTATTCAAAGCGACAATATTCTTAAAACTACAAATGTAAAAAAATCGTCAAAACTTAAATTGAATGGAAAATAATATTTGATAGGAAGGCGAGAATTATTTTTCCGAAATCTTGATGGATTTGCACCCTCCAATGCGGCTCGGTCAATCGCCGTCAAAAATAATTTTTTTTGATCCCCGGGTGGAAAGTACGTACTTTGGCCACTATTTTAAATGGCAAAAGCAAGACTTTTTCCCATTACAAATTTTCTTCATTCAGTGTGGAAAATAATAACTTTCGCCACGCACGCTGACAGCTTGACTGTTAGCTGACTGTTTTGACAACATTTTCAAAGCAGTTTTTTTTCAAAACCTTATACTTTTCACGGCTAGTTTCCCCCGAGGGCCAAGAAAACTAGTATACGGTACGCGACGGTAAAACGGATTCGCCTCGGGCGTCAACTTCAAGCAGTGGCGGAACTTCGACTTTCGTCTCTTGAAGCGTAATATATTATTTTTTGCTTTGTATCAAATTAGCAGCTAGTTTTCGATACAAGGGCGAAAAATATCATTCAACAACATTCACAAGTGAGCATCGTAAACGCGTTGTCGTTCGAAAAACGGATTTTCATTCTCGTATCGAACACTATTTTTTATTCGAAAAACTGTCATAAGGCCAATAGTGAGTTATAATAAAGAAGAATAGCCAAAAATAAAATGCGTCGATTTCTTATTTTAAATTTCATGTCAATGCCATCTTTCAAATGTCACGTTTTGACGTTTGTAATGTTTCAAAAGCGTACTTCAAAGCAGAACATAATGACATGAAATGACATATAATAAAAATAAATGTCAAATTTTAATAGTTAAAGTGTAGTTATAATTTATCCGCCAGTGGGTGTTTGGATTTTTAAAGTCGCAAATACAAGTAAAAGAATGAGTGATAAATATTTTACTGTACACCACCAGCAGTTAGAGATGCCGCAAATGTTAGGATCAACTTATGCCTGATATTCACGCTATTTAAAAGAACCGTCTTTTGCGTGTGCCAACATCGGCCAACGCAGAAAAATATGACATTAAAACCACCTTAAGACTGAACTTTTCAGAAAGTTATAATTTATAAATTGCAATTACAACGATGTAAATACATTAACATTATAAAGTGCAGGTTTGGAGATCGCTAGTTTCGGGTAGGTTAGCGCATCTCAAAATCACTTGCCTCTTTCTTCAGCTCATGACGGCGCTGCTGATACGGAAAGCTTTTCATTGTTCTTAGCAGAAAGTTTGGAAATCAACAGATCCGCAAAATAATGTAAATTTGCGTTTTAAAAACTATGTGAAAAAACAATTAGCATTCGACTGTTTTTTCATAAAAACAATCTCTAATTGGCAAATTTAAATTAAGCAATCAGTTTAGAAGAAAAAATGACGTTTTTTAAGTTGTCTTTTTTTGTACGACATAGCATTCGCTAACAATAGTTTATTTACTTAATACCTGAAAAATTAAAATTTGCAACAGTATCGTTCATGGAGATTTTTATTTATCGCGCAGCAATACAAAACATAACTAAAACACTCAACTAATAGTAATAAAGTTGCAACTTTTCTTAGTATTGGAATGAACCTGAAGCTGTTCCGTAGACACATTGTACATATAATTCGAATCCTTTTGCTATTGTTAATGTATTTTTTTCCAATTCAGACAAAACTGTTATTACTTATTACGATTGTGGATTTTATAAATAAAAATCCGTTAGTTAAGGTACTTTGCAAGCATTTTAATGCCTACATTCTTCAGATGTAATCGTTCGTTCGAGATCCGCATTGGGACGCAAGTAACGGTGTCCTCATATATTTTCTCTTTCGTTATAGCTGCTGAAGTATCTTCAAGTTACGGGCGGCTTAAAACTCCGCAGTGAATAAAAATTACGGAACGTTTTCGTTGGAAGATAATTCCATTTTATAGTAACCAGTGCTTGAAGTGGAAATTGGGATATCCGAGTTATGTTGCACTAGTTTGCACAGTTTTGGATTTGTTTAGAAACAAATAGCCACTGTTTTGTATTAAAATATAGACTTAAAATTAGTTAGTATATAGTTAGTAAAATGTTAGTATTAAAATTTTGTTTTGGAAAATTATCTTTATTCTACCAGCTAGGCATGTTTATGTAGATGCTATTATTTTCACATTTATAATAGGCAATGTTCTTTGTATTTTAGGTATTTAACTATATATTAATATTAATTTTATTTAATAGTTTTATTATTTATTTTAGTTAGGTATTTAACGTTTCAATTTCATGGTTTTATGTTCAGCTGAAAACTTAATAATTATACTGATCACATAAAATACACAAGGAATAAAATGGATTACAATTTATGATGAGTTCGGTTTCGAATGATTTTCTTTTCATAAAAAAAAATGCTAGGATAACTTTTTTATTTAGATATTAAATTCAGGTTCTCGGGTAGTGACGTGATGTTCATTGTGGAATACGTTTAACCTATAATACAATATTAATAATATCTTTATTCAAGCCAGTACAAATTTCGAGGTTCGCTAACCTAAAGTAAATATGACAAATTGAACGTGTCACTGTCATAATATTTTTAAAGTTTTTCATTAAAAAGTAACCTACAGGCTTTTTTAATGAATTACGTAAGTTTATTTATTATTTAAGAACTATTAATCATAATTTAAAGTTTTCTTACAATTTGTAAATTACAACTTTGTTATAAGTTCAGTCTCAAAGTCTTTCAAATGGTCTATTTTTCGGCGGTCTCCGATCTTGCCACAAACAAAACCCGATTTTTTTCAAAAGCACAAATTTTATGCAAAATATGCATCTTATACAAACACTATACCGTGACAGCAGCACTTGAATTTCACTCAGAAGAATCAACACTCATTGTTTCACTTGTAGATGCTTACAAAAGTAAGCTTTCGAAAAATTACAGAAGTCAAGACATGACAATTTCAAAAATGACATTGACATCAAATTTGAAATATGAAGTTGACGGCTTTTATTTGTGTTATGTTCTATATTCGAATAAAAAATATTAAGCTTATATATTCGAATAAATAATATGCATATAAGCCGTCGTCGTTCGAAAAACGACACTTTTCGCCTTTGCATCGAAAACTACTATTAAAATATTTTCATTAAAAAGTAACCGACATGCTTATTTAATTAATCACGTAGATTTATCAACAACTATTGGTCATAACTTAAAGTTTAGGGACTTCGTAAGTTGGTAAATTATAACTTTGTTACAAGTTCAGTCTCAAAGTCGTTCAAATGGTCTTATTTTTTGCGCTCGCCGATGTTGCCACAAGCAAAACACGATTTTTTTGAAGATTTCAAATTTTATGCAAAATATGCAACAAATATGAAAGCAGCACTTGAATATGCAACACTCGTTGTGTCACTTGTATTTGCTTACAAAAGTACGCTTTCGAAAAATTACAAACGTCAAAACATGWCAATTTCAAAAATKACATTGACGTCAAATTTATTTTAAATATGAARTTGGCGTCATTTATTTTTATTTATTTTTTATTTTATTTTAAAACTTATTATTCGTGCTGTCCTTGTTGTGCTTTATTCGAATAAAAATTATTGTTCGATACGAGGACGAAAACAAAGAAACTAGTTTGGCCCACCAAGAGATAATTGGAAAGAAAATTGACTATATTGCTATGATGAAAAAAGAACTTGAAACTGCGGAAGAAAAAGTTAACGAAGAGCAAAAATGAGCGCCTTCAAGATGCTGAGCCTGCTGCTGATAAAGCGGGCAAAAATCAAAAGCCAGCTAAAGAAAAGGATGAAAACGATGCCAAAACAAAAACAAATGCGAGAAGCAGTAAAGAAAGTGAATGAAGATTAGGAGAGACAGAGACGTGTAACAATGAT